ACAAAACATTGATATTTACGAAGATCTTCGTACAACCTGAAGAACTCCCCATCTCGCCTTCTATTTCGATTGATCGGGTGAACTGCAAACTCTCTTTCGTTGTTGATTATGAAATTAATCGTGCTTGAGGAAGCGAAATATTCCTCATCGGATGAATCCATGCTGAATAACAAATTTGAACAAATATTTTGCACTGCGCGCGCGACTGTAATGTTTTCAAAAACTCTTTCACTATGTCATAGGTTGCTTCGCTTGCCGCTGCATTTCGCTTTGCCAATTGCTATCGCATCGAATCGCTTCGAATCGCTTCTACTATGTTGTCGGCCTCACTCTCGCCAGCGGCTTGGTCAAGGTGTCGGCGATCATGGACTCGGTAGAGCAGTATACAACCTGGATTACATTGTTGGCTTACCAAGTCTCGGATGAAGTTGAACCGGGTGTCGATGTGCTTGGTTCTTCGACTTCCTCCTTCAGCTCGCAGCATTGCTATGCAGCTCTGATTATCTTCGCGGACAATGATCGGCCCGGAAGCTTTCTCAAGCAACATCCTTCATTAGCTTCTGCAACCAGAGCAACTCCCCGCAGGCCTCGGGTCTTGCGATCTTGATGATCTCCGGCCCAGTCAGCATCCACGTATGCTTGCAGTTGGCCAGGTCCACCGTGCTCCAGCTTCAAATTCGCAGTCGACATCAGGTACCGCAGAGTCCGCTTGGCCTCGATCCAGTCAGCCTGGCTGGGCCTGGATCGCCCCAGAATGGACGCACTGATGGCAATATCGGGCCGCGTGTTTACCGCAACATACAGCAAAGCACCCACTAAGCCCTGTAAATCGTCCTTCCGTGGCATTGGTTTCTCCCCCTATTGCTGTTGCTTCGGGTAACCTGGGTCCATTGGTATACGGGATGGTTTGGCGTCTGCTTGTCCAAATCTTGCAGCGATTCTACGGATATACGAGGCTTGCTCCAGCAGGAATCGTCCATCCTGTCCTCACTCAATACGAATACCATTGCTGACATCTCCGAGGGTGGTTATCTTGAAGTGCTTTTTCAGTGTCGTTTCGATTCTTCTGTACTCCGCTTCATCCTGGCAGCTATAAGCATGTCGTCCACGTAAAGCAGTACAAATGACGAACGACCATGCTTCGTCCTCACCAACAGTCTGCTTCGCGACGGGGGCAAAATATCGTCATAATCGGTACCGTATCGTTGACTGAATCCTTGTGGGACAAGTCTTGCCTTGTATTGGGTGACATTACCGTCACCGTCCATCTTCCTTTTATACACCCATTTGCAGCCAACAGGTTTGCGATCGTTTGGCAAAGGAACGAGCGCCCAAGTGTCATTCTCGTGCAAGAATTGGATCTCCTCCTCCATAGCGCGCTTCCACAAATCTCGCTCCGGGCACTTCATCGCCTCTTCGAACGAACGGGCTCGCAGTACTCCTGGACAGTCAAGAATCTCTGTGGCGCGACTTCTATGTTCGCGCGGCTGGATCGGCGAACGTTTGTGGCAGTGCCAAACTCCTCCTGTCCCTCGGTAGCCTGTGGTACTGCGACACCTGTACAGATTGTGTCGTCCCGATCATCTTCGGCGTTGGATGTGGCAGTTTCAAAACCGTTGAAGTCGCTGGATTCACCGTCGTCTTGATCATCATCGACCTCGGAGTCCGTTGCTACGGGAGCATCATCATCGTCTTCCTCAGGTGCTGTAAAAGCGGGACCATCATCGGCTTTGCCACGAATCGTCGGAGAAATTTCAGTAAAAGGATATGGAACGATACTTCCCTGCGAAGGTTCGGTTTCCCGAACCTCCCGATGTGTCAGACAGCGACAATCTCTACTCGTGATCATCTTGTGCGTCTCGGGGTCGATGAAACGGTAGGCCTTATGGTGCAGCGAGTAGCCCACAAACAGCATCTTCTTGGATTTCGCCTCCAACTTCGAACGCTTCTCGGATGGAATCCACACGTAAGCCTATGAACCGAAAATATTTAGGTGGCTTAGATCAGGCTTCTCTCCAGTCCAGAGCTCGTACGGTGTCTGCGATAAGGACTTGGTTGGCAAACGATTTTGAAGGTATGTGGCCGTACGGCAACTGCGCGTCCAGAATCATGCAGCGGGCCATCTCCACCAAAGAACGATTCTTACGCTCCGAGACCCCGTTCTGCTGCAAGGTGTACGCTGTGGTAAACTGCTGGCTTATACCTTCTTGGCGGCAGAAACGGTCGAGGGCTTCATTCTGGTACTCACCACCATTGTCTGACCGAATCACTTTGGGCGGATCAAGTAACTTCCAACTTCTGTTTCAGAAAATATACTACGGTGTAGCGAGAGTGGTCATCAATCATCGCTAGGAAGTAACGACAACCGCCTGGTGTCGGCGTCCGCATCGGTCCACACACGTCCGTATGGATAATGTCCAGTGGCTGCTTCGACTTCTTCTTGGACTTCTTTGGAAATGGTAGACGGGCCAGTTTCCCTTCCAGGCAACACTCGCAAGTAACGTAACACCTGCAATCTTCGATGTGGATTCCCGATGCTAGTCCTTTCGTCTAAAAATCACGAATCGCATCTGGCTCACGATGTCCAAGGATACGATGCCAAGTGTGCAAACAGTCTGGATTGTGGGTGGACTCACTCACCTGCAGCGCAGCATGCTCAGTCCGCAGTTTGTACAGTCCCCCTTATGTGGTTGTGCCTGCAATCACCTTGTCGTCCTTAAGGATACGGTACCCATCCGCGTCGAACACGAACTTGGCTCCCTTGGCTGCAATTTTTCTTCACCGATATGAGGTTGGTCTCGAACTGCGGGACGTACATTACATCCGAGAGGAGAACAGTACTGCGTTCACCCTCTGGAGACACCCAGATCATCCTGCACGAACCAACTCCTTCCGTGGTTATCTTCTTGCCATCGACCAGAAAGACTCCCTGCTTCACGCTTTTATCCAGCTCGGTGAAACTGTCCGCATCGACGCACATGTGGGACGTCGCGCCAGAGTCGATGTTCCACGCATCACGTCCACTCGCCTTATGCAACGCCAAGAATCTAAAATCCTGCGACGCATTGTTCTTGGAGTCTTGTCGCTGCGATTTTCCATCAGAGCCCTGCACTGCTTCTGTTTGTGACCCGGTTTCTTGTAGTAGTTACAAACCAGCGTCTTCTTCTTCGCAGCTTGGACTTGATCAGCTCGAGACTCAAGTCGTCGTCGGACCTAGTCTCCAACACCGTCGTGAGTGTGTTGAAGGATTCGGGTAAGCTTCGTAGCACCATTGCCACCTGCAAATTACGGTCCAATGCCTGGTCCGCCAACGACAGTCGCTCGAAGAGGTCTACCATCTCGCACACGTGCTGTCCGATTTCCTCGCCATCAGCATACCGCATGTCGCATAGTTGTTTCTGCAATGACACTTTGGAAGTTAGCGTCGCCTTCTCGTAGTGGTCCCGGAAAGTCTCCCAGGTTTGATTCGCCGTTTTTGACTTCTTGATAAGATGCGATTGACTGTCTTCCAGAAGTAGCCCAATCGAGGAATGCGCTTTGATGTCCCACGCTTCGATCTCCGCTGCAGTAGCGCCCGTTCGACCTTGATCTTCCAGGTTCCGTAATTCATTCTATTAAGCTTGGGAATGCCGAACGGGTCCATCGAATATTGAAAAATTTCTTCTGCTTGTTGATCGGTCGCGATGGTTGCTAGCTGGGCCCATAACCTATTTATTTCGACATTTCGCAGATAATAACACTTGGGTCGGTTGCTGTCACGCTGCTATATTTGTTAACCCGCTGCGTTATAGTGGAGGTTGCTAAAATAGCTTTAGCAACGCATTGTTGCGGGTGCTCTTAGGAAGGTCTGTCTGCAGAAGCTTGAGATGGAAGTTATCTGGATGGTGGATAGTGGATGATGGACCGACGTGTTGAAGATCCTTTGATTGGACTCTACTGCTGGCTTGGACAGCAAAAATCGCTTCGCCAAACAGTGAAGTTGACGTGCTCCATCGACTGCTCTTCGTCTCCCCATGTCACCCTGAATCGTTTTCTATGTTTAACGCCATTCAGCCATTTTTTTTGACGTAGGACTACGTCTGTGATTTCTATATGGGGGTACACTTTGTAAAAACCGAAAATGGATCATGTAACAAAATTATGAAAGATTTTGAACGTTAATAATTCAGCTGCCTCTGGACCAATTTCAACAATTTTAACACCAATCGATCAGAAATATTCCTACGACTAATTCTCTTATTTAAGACTTTATCATTTTCCAAAATGTCACTATTGAAAATTGCACGAATGTGCAACTGTTGCTATGATAATTAAAATTATCACCGATTGCCTGCGAAAAGCGATTTCCCTAACAAAGATTTCAAAGTTGAATTCCATCCGGTCTCACCATACGGTCTGTATTCAACCACCGCGTGGTGAGTGGTAGTGTTCTCCAGTACACAACGAAAGGCTCCCCGCAAGAAGCGTGCTATCAAGGCTGCCCACAACCGCTGATCTAATTCAGTTCCAATCACCATGTGTGGTGTTTTCCGGTCGTCGGCATCAGCTGCAGCAGTGCTTTCGGCACGTGGCATTGACATTGTTCTCCAGTACACAACGGAAGGCTGCCTGTAAGTAGCGAGCTGCTGCCCACATGAGCATTCATAGAAGGAGGAAGAAGCCGCACCGCTATTGATCGGAATCAGTAGATCTTCGTGAGTCGCTGTGGGCCGTCTATGTCAAGCGTGTCATACAAAAGAGTATATGTAAACAGATAGTACCCCGTTCAAATTCCTATTCCTACACAAAACACAAGCTCCTGCTGCAGTTAACAAATAAGATTTATCATATAAGATCACGTAGTCCTACGTCACCATTGCGTACAACCCCATAGGGCTGTCCCTTGTAGTTTTTTCGTCAGGTAAAGCTTATGCGGAACGATCGTGGAAATAGGCAGGTCCGCGGTGAACAGAGTCTTAATTCACCAGCAGTTCTCAAGTCACAAAAGAATGTATACTTACTTCTGATCGTGGGTCAGCGCCAGCGATCGAATTCCACTGTTGCACGCTGGGAATGCATATAGCGGAGCCAGGTTGAACGTCCGCCAAACCTCCACGATTCCCTTGTTGCCGGCGGTCATCAGGTATTCCCCGTCCCGTGACAGCAGCATGCACTGCAACGAAATAGAATCATTCGCAAACTGCTCAACCCTGGAAGCACCAAAATCCCCCCCTCGGAAACTCACCTGAAGGTTATCGTTGTGGGACTCGTGTCTCAGCAGTTTACCGTTGATGGTGTATGCAGCCACGTTGCCCTCGTCGTAGTTCACCACGATGAAACCCTCCCGCGAGAGGGTGATGTTCTCCGGTGAAATGAAATCCGTTGGCGCTTCCAGCGAGCGAAGCAGGTCTCCGAATGTGGTATGCACCAACACCGGTCCGTCTGGAAGCGATCAATTTTCGAATGATTTACTCTACCTACCAAGCAATGCTAGGAAACTTACTTATCGATCCGGAAACGACCAAACCGAGTTCAGCGCTGATCACAACCGATGTCACCGACGTTTCGTGTCCGGTCAAAGTTGCCCGAGGGGTCGGAATCTGAGGAAACGGAATCAAACTTACTTCATGGAAGCCCAGTGCTGGAAGACTCCGACAACTTACCTCCCCTTCTCCGACGATGCTCTGCGTTCGGGCATTCCAGTGCCACAGGAGAATCGTACAATCGGCCGATCCGGACGCAATGTAGCAATCGGAGGTAATGTTACACTCCGACCGGGACAGGCAAGTCACCACGTCAAAGTGCCCGAAGATAATCTGCACGATTTTGGCCGTCTCGGTCGAAAATACCCGGAAACTGTTGTCCCAAAATCCGCACGCAATTAGGAATCGACTGTCGACGGTGGTGACATAGCAGTTGGATTTGATGCGCAGCTTCTGACTGAAGTTATCGCCCAGATGGCGACGGTTCTGCTGTTGACTGTTGCTGTTGTGGCCGTTGATTTGTGCTGCGGGTGGGAAAAAAAATGAATCGTTAGTAAGCGGATCTTACAGGGTGGGGGAGTGGTTCTTACAGAGCAGAGGATCCATCGTGAGCGGCAGATTGGCGTTCACATTCTGCGACGACTCGGCGTAGCTCGGGCTCTGGATGCTGGCGGTGTACTGGCAGTTCCAACGGTTGACCGCGAATTGATGGCCAGCCGTGACGGTCACAACCGAAGGCAGTGGCAGCTGAGGGTACGTGTTGGCCGATATGTGGATGATCGGCGAGTTCAGGTGGAACTTGAGCGACATGCACACATCGTCCGGCATGGTGTTGAACATCATCGGCGACAGGTGCATGGCCGAACTCCGCGGCGGGTGGGGTTCCATCAGCAACAGACTAGGTGTTTGACCGAAGTTCCTAATCTGATTCTCGATCGCTTCGCGTGTGACCGAATCCGTGATCGTGTCCAGGTCGACGCTACCCTCGTAGGTTAGGTAGTAGAATACGTTGGTGGCACGCATCGCTTCCGGTCCGCGTTGTTTGTAGCCGAAGATCAGATCGATCCACTGGTGTAATTGACAGGAAACGAACTCCGATTCCAGAGCCATCCGGTTAATGCGGACGAATTCTTCCGGAGTCTTTGCCCACGGAGGCAGCTCGATGTCACTGACGAGGGTGCCGTCTTCCCGCTGACCTAGGCGGTAGTCGGAGGAGTTGTAGAACATCTCCGGCAGGAAGTACCACTCCGGGATGAGTTCCTTGACGTCCGAGGTGTCCCGTTGGCAGTTCTTCCAGGACAGGGCGATCGAGGAGAACAGTCGATCGGGGTGATCGAATTTACCGCCCTGTAGCGCTAGGAACATTGTGGTGAAGGGTTCCATCCGAATCAGCCAATTCAGCACGAACGCCGACGTGGAATAGTGAGTACCGTAGTGGAACGGAGGAATGCCTGGGGTATCCCAGCTCTCGTATCGTTCTTCGAAGTACTCTCTTCGGGAAGGATTCAAAGCTCCGATCGGTTTCGACAGATCTCGGTAGTTGGATGGTTGGCTGAGATCCAGCTCCCGAGATTCGTAGTTGGTGAGGACCCATGGGAACACCGGGTACTGGTTCAGGTCGTTGTAGGTCCGACCGGCGATCGTGTTCAGGAACATCAAATACTCAAAGTTGGATATTTCACGGCGTTGCCACTTTTGCGTCATGTTGGAATTCCGCATCAGCTGCCGGGGGGACATCATCGAGGCTCGACGGGTCTGCGGAATGCCGTACTTGATTCCGACTCCAACGCGTGGCAAAGCCTTGATCACCTTCTTGACCGTATGCTGGTCGGGGAAGGCAAACAGGATCGACGTTCTGCTGGCAAGGAAAATCTCCAGCGCTACGTTTTGCAGCAGGTATCGACGGGAGAAGATCGCCCGGATCTCGGAGAAATACCACTTGCCGTGTAGATGATCACAGTATTTCAGGACCTCCTGATCAATGCCTTGGAACTCGGGGTTTTCCTCGTCCACTTCAAAGTACATTTCCGTCGAGGTAATTGACATCGTTCCGGGTGCTACCAGACCAGGGGCAATCAGCTTCGCCTTGGTGCTGATATTGACCGGACCGGTAAGGTCTAGGTCCAGCTCGCGATCTTCGATCAAGAGCTCCGAATCGTCCAGCAGGTCGGGTTGTTGCGACCGTGGCACCGCAATCTGCGAGTAGATTTCATCCCGGGTCGCTTCCCGAGTTTCTTCGTTTCCGCCGTTCTCCAGAGATGCCTTCAGCGTAGCCTGTGGATGAGTTGATCCTCGAGGATTCTGAACCATTCGTTTCCTTCGTCTGGCGTCATCTTCCCAGGCGTCCAGTTTCCAGAAGATCTGTTTCTGGTAGGCTCCACTGCTGTCGCCCCAGGCACCGTGCCGGTTGCCCATAATGTTCCTAACTTTTTCCAGCAGTCTGCTGGCGATCACGTTGTCCCGCCTTCGGGCAGCCGTGATCAGATGATCACACATTCGCTCTTCCTCGCGTCGTTCCAGCAGTGTTTGGGCGCACTGCGATTCAAAGTCCGCATGCTTCAGCACGTCATCGGCTCGCATTCGGTTCAGGATGAACTCCGCCTCGTTGGCAACTCGGACGATGTGGTCCTTCATCGCATGCGACAGCAGTCGGCCTTCGTTGATCAACTCGATGAATGCCAGTCCAGCGTGCTTCTGCAGACTGTTCTGCCATTCTTGCGAGCACAGCAACATGACCAGTTCGACAACCGAGTGGCTGTTCTTGAAGGTGGTTAGTCCCTTGCCTTCCATGAGCAGCTCCTGTCCGTGTGATCCGACCAGGGTCTTGGAGAGGAATGGTGCAAAGTCTACCATTATTTCACGCAGCAGTGGGCAAACCGGCCCCAGTGCGATCTCGAGCTTCTGGGTCAGGCTGGCTTCCCTCGAGGGGATCGCCATCGGGATCTGTCCCACGAAGGGCGCCTTGAGGTTCAGATCCTCCGGACGCCCACGTGCTGCCGCCACCGACGATTGGTAGTTATCCGGGACGCGAACCACCGAAATGTCGGATTCGAGTTTGTTGGAATGGTTACCGGACAGTTGCCCGCCGGCGTTGGTTTGACCGGAGATGTCGGACGTCACACCACGCATCAGCGACGACTTGCCGCCGGGTGGCACGATCGAGCTTTCCGTAGGGCCTTCGTCGTTCAGATTGACATCGGTCCAGCTTTCGTCGTTCGAGTTGGTCGGTTTGTTGTCGTCGGCCATGATCTCGCTGGAGGTTTCCACCTCCGGGGCGTCGTTCTCCGTAGAGTTGAGGTTCAGCGACGCGGCATCCGAATCGACGCTCTGGGGAGAGATAGTGGGTGTTAAGGGTGGGAAATGGTTAGTGGAGATTGAGAGAACGAGAGGCAGGATGTAACACGCAGGTGTCGTCAAATCGGTGATGGCAAATGGAGCGATGATCGAGGTGAACGTTGTTGTGATAACTGGTTTGTGTGTGTGTGTGTTCGGATGTTGGGGGAAGCTGTTTTAGAGACGAATACGGTAGGTAGGAACAAGCATTCTACGGCTACAAGCGAACGTGGATAAAACTCAATCAAAGCATACGTCAAACCGCGAGTTACCTTCGTCTGTTTCTGCTGCTGTAATGTGGACGGTGGTGGTTGTGGTTTCGCCGGCGAAAGAGGCTGATCTTGGAACGTACTTATGCTAGTGGTAGTAATTGTGGTAGTAGTTGCCGGATACCTTGTGTTAGTGGGAGTGTTGTTGCCGTTGTTGTTGTTGTTACCGTTATCGTTACTGTCAAAGCTCCTGGGTGAAGTTGGAGTACCATAAACCGATGATGCCCGGCGAGAGGTTGTGGCCTTGGTTTTGTTTTAAATAGTTGTGTGTATACAAACCCATGAGAGTTACGAGAAGTTGAAAGAAAATTAAAAATAATCATGCAGTTACAGATAGCGCGTAAAATAATACGGATGAGTAAATTTGAGAGATTGAAACAGTTAAAGAATTAGAATAAACAAATGCAAAATTTGCGGTTGGAATTGTGTTGTTTAACAAACTAGCGTTGATTGCTTCTCTTGTCTGTTGGAAATATGTTCTACGATGGAGTTAAAAATATCTGCTTTATACGTACAGCGGAGTAATATAAACGAACCTAGGCAAAACCGTTGATACAATCAAAAGTTAGGCGAGAATGCAGATTTGAGGATAAAATGGATGTGGGTTGAGGATGTGTCATTCCCCATGCGGTAATGGTAAATAAGCACTGATAGTGTCTTTTAAATTGTTGCCAATACAACAGGCAGCAGCAGCTGATTTTTCGGAGTGGATGACGCAGTCAGATAACCGATAGAGGCTATTGCCCGAGTGCTTTGTTCGTTACCTACAACTCGGTCGGTAGGTGAAGCAAATTAAATTTGATGATGCTTGGAATTGCGATCAAGAAAATTGTTCGGTTTGACTTCTAAAATGGAAGTGCGAGACCGTCCTTGCGTGAAATTTCCAATTTCGTCAAGACGCTTGATGTGAATGCTGCTGAGATGGAAGCAAACTACCGGATATCGGAGAAGAAAGCCCTCATCAAGTTGTGGTTACTGGAAGTGCATCGTTGGACAACAACGGCAAGAAGCTGGGGAAGAGGTTGAGTTAGTTGAAATGGACATGACATCCCCGGAGGCCGAGAAAAACAGCGGAAAGGAAGCAAGCTGTCCACAAACAGCAGCCGCTTGTTTTCAAGCATAATATTTAATCATATCTACAAATTCGGGATAGTGAGGAAAACCGAGAATGAGCGAATAAACGACGAAAAGAAGGCCAAGTGGTTGACGCTGTGGAAGCAAAAACAGGGTGTATACTTCCTGGTGAAACCTGGAAAACCGGAATCCTCAGGAAATTTAATTTTACCTGGAAAAAGCTGTAATTCCCGGGGAATTTAGTCGTTATCAAATTAAAAAAAAAAAAACGAAAAGTTTCAAGAACCTGGAACAAAGACACATGCTCATTACGTCGGACATTGAATATTTTCCTAGGTATTTTCCAAGATCGCAAATTTGAAAAACATCAAGATTAAGGACGTCTAGAGGCCGGATAGCAATGTTTGAAGCCATCCTGGAATCGAAAATGGCGGCTTCCGATTTATGAAAAACTGCCAAATATCAAACAATATGGGTATTTTCAGAACGGGAACGACGAGCTAAGGCCGGATATCGATGTTTCAAGCTATTATGAAATACAAGATGGCGACTTCCGGTTGTGAAAAATTATCAAATACCGAACAATATGGATATTTTAGGAACGGGAACGACGTGTATAGGTCGGAAATCAATGTTTGACGCCATTTTGGAATCCAAACAACACGTTTTTTTAAATCCAAGAGACTACTTCTGGTTTGTGAAAAACTGTCAAAAACCCAACAATATGGGTATTTTCGGAACGAGGACGATGAGTAGAGGCCGGCAATCGATGTTTGATGCCATTCTCAAATCCAAGGTGGCGACTTCCGGTTTGTTAAAAACTGCCAAATACACTACGATATGGGTATTTTCAGAACGGGAACGACGAGCTAAGGCCGGAAATTTGTTAATCCAAGATGGTGACTTCCAGTTGTGAAAAACTGTAAAATATTCAACAATATGGGTGGTTTAGGAACATGGACGATATGTAGGAAGTCGCACTCTATAACATTACCCTGAATGCCACTTCCACGAATATATTGTGATTGCATATTTTGTTCACGGTGCCAAGAATTTCAGACAGCAGCGAGCACTCCAAAGAACATTAAGAGAGTTTCTTGGAAGTTCTTGGAACTTCTGGAATGTTTTCAGAATATCTAGAAAATTCTTGAAATATCTTGGAAGTTACGAGAACTCCCCAGAAATCCCTAGGAGTTCTCAGAAATTCACAGAACTCCTCAGGAATTCCGAGATCTTTCCTGAAATTCTGAGAATTTCACAGAAGTTCAGATTCCGAGAACTTTTGAGAAGATCCGAACATACGTTGTGCCCGTTGACCTCGAATACAGCGTATATTTCGTCCAATTTAACATAGCATTTCAAATGCGATAATTGACAAGTTCATGTCTCGGATAGAACATATATTCGTCATGAGTCTGGTACATTTTTACTGAAATTTATATTTTTATTTTGTGTTTAAATCTTCCCAAAAGATCCGAGAAGTTTCGAGAAATTCCGCTCTATTTCTCCAGAAATTTCAAGAATTTCACCGAAAATTTCACAAAAAATTCCGATACATTCCGAGAACTTTCCAGATATTCGAAGAACTTACCAGAAATGTCTAAATCTATCAAGAGTTTTCGGAATTCTCCAAACTTGAGACATAATCCAGGGATTTCTGGGAAGTTCTAGGATCTTCTAGGAAGTTTTTTGGAATTTAAGAAAGGTCACGGAAAGTCTGGGAAAACCTTCTAACTTCTGTTCTAGTTCTCACAATTGTGGGAACTTCTGGGAAGTAGTTACCGGGACTTCTGGTAAGTTTTCTAATATTTATTCTGGGAAGAAAATGTGTAAAGTTCTCGGAATATTTGAGATGTTCCCGGGATTTCTTAGTTTCCACCCAGAAGGTTCCCGAAACTTTTGGCAAGTTCTCGCATCTTCTGAGAAGATTTCGAAAACTTCCCATCAGTTCCGAGAGCTTTCCAGAATTTACCGAAAGCTTGCCAGAAATTCCGAGAACCAGTAAGAAGATTTGCGAATTTCCCAGAAGATCCGAGAACTTACTAGAAATGTTGAGGGATTTCCAAAAATTCCGAGAACTGCTAAGAATTTCCGACCGATTCTTACAAGCTGCGTGCACTCCAAAGAACATCCGAGACCTTCCCACAATTTTTGTGAGCTTTCTAGAAGTTCCTTCTAAGAACTGTTAAGAAGATTCTTGAATTTCTCAGAAATTCCGAGAACTTCCCAAAAATTCCGAGAACTTCCCAGAAGATCGGTAAATTTCACAGAATTTCGAAGAACCGCATGTACAATTTTTCTAGAAATCCTCGCAGAAGTTCAAAGATCTTTACAATACTTTTGAAGTGCCAAAAGATCGGCAAATCCCAAGAACCTTGCGGAAGTTCAAAGAACTTTACAATAGTTCAAATTTGAACTATTGTAAAGTTATTTGAACTTCTGCGAGGTTCTTGGGATTTCTAGAAAAATTGCACATGCAGTTCTTGGAATTTCTGTGAAATTCGCCGATCTTCTGGGAAGTTCTCGGGATTTTTGGGAAGTTCTCGGAATTTCTGGCAAATTCAAGAATCTTCTGAACAGTTCTTACGAGGAATTTCTAGAAAGCTCACAGAAATTGCGGGAAGGTCTCGGATGTTCTTCGAAGTGCACGCATCTTGTAAGAATCGGTCGGAAATTCTTTGGAAGTGGTCGGAAATTCTTCGGAAGCAATTCTCGGAATTTTTGGAAATCTCTCAACATTTCTAGTAAGTTCTCGGATCTTCTGGGAAATTCGCAAATCTTCTTAAAGGTTCTCGGAATTTCTGGCAAGCTTTCGGTAAATTCTGGAAAGCTCTCGGAACTGATGGGAAGTGCTCGGAATTTTTGGGAAGTTCTCGGAATTTCTGGCAAATTCAAGAATCTTCTGAACAGTTCTTAGGAGGAACTTCTAAAAAGCTCACAGAAATTGTGGGAAGATCTCGGATGTTCTTCGGAGTGCACGCGTCTTGTCGGAAATTCTGGAAAGTGGTTGGAAATTCTTAGCAGTTTTCGGAATTTTTAAGAATTCCTCAACATTTCTAGTAAGTTCTTGGATCTTCTGGGAAATTCGCAAATCTTCTTATAGATTCTGGGAATTTCTGGCAAGCTTTCGGTAAATTCTGGAAAGCTCTCGGAACTGATGGGAAGTTTTCGAAATTTTTGGGAAGTTCTCTCATCTTTTGGAGAAGTTATCGGAAACTCTGGGAAGTTATTGGAAACTCTGAAAAGTTCTTGAATCTTCTGGAAAGTTTATGGAACTTCTTTTTTTCCTTGGTTTGTTTTCCGTGGATCTTGTTTTCCGTGCTGAGCACCAATGCTACCGACGTCAGGGAGGCTGCTCCCACACCTGTACCCTACCTATCGACCCATCAACTCATGAACCGGGGACCAACGGCTTTACTTCCCTTTCGAAGGAAGGAGTGATCAGAGATGTTATGCCTCTGAACACCCCAGCGGCGCCGACTGGGATTGAACCCAGGCCTGCTGGGGTGAGAGGTTATGGAACTTCAGGAAAGCTCTCGGAATTTTTGGGAAGTTTTCGGAATTTGTTGTTAATGCACGGATTTCTATGGGAAGTTCCCATATCTTCTAGGAAGTTTTTAGAATTTCTGAAAAGTTCTTCTGGGAAATTGTCGGATTTTTTTCGAAAGTTCCACGAATTTCTGGCAAGGTCTCGGATCTGTTAGGAAGTTCGATCGTCTTCTGGGAAATTCTAAGACTTTCTGGGACGTTCCAAGATCTGAAAGATCTAGATCTAGGAGTATTAGGAACTTGTGAGAAGTACACAGAACTTCTGGGGAGTTGTTGGTTCTTCTGTGAAGTTCTCGAAATTTATGGAAAGTTCTCGGAAGCTCTGTGCAGTTCCCAGAACGACTGAGTAGTTACCGAAACTTCTGGAAAGTTCTCTAATATTTATTTTTTATGACTTTCTCAGTCTAGAGTAATCCAAACGGTCAACGCATAACTGACCGTTTGGATTACCCTAGACTGAGAAAGCCATAAAAAAGAAATCTCCCTACATACCAGCCAAACAACCTATTACGTTTCCTAATATTTTTGAAATTTTTAGAAGTTCTTGGATTTTCTGGGAAGTTTTAGGATTTTTAGAAAAGTTATCGGAAATTGTGGGAGCTCTCGGTAATTATGGGAAG